AGCTCCAATCTTGATGCAGGTGGGGGAGGAGAACAGCAGGCGTTTTGGAAACTCTGCAGCCACCAGCAAACAGAGATGAGCAGCTAAATAAAGGAAGGCGTTTTTCCTTTGAAGGGAGCAGATGGTCCAGAGGAAAAAGAAGCATAGAGGCACCACAAAACAATGCACCTTGTGGAAAGATGCAAATACTTTACACGCTGGCCATGAACGGAGAAGAAAAAAAGCAGAAGAAATCCCAGAGATAAAGGAATTAGGGCAGAAGGCAGAACAGTGTTTGTAACAAGAAAACAAAACGTTGCTAGATAATATTACTATGGAGTGTAGTATAGTAATGGTAATTGATTAGTAATAGAGTATAGTAATTGTTATAGTAATTAGTGTAGAAATAGTACTAGAAATAGTAGCAATTGGATAGAACATAGAATTGAGGCGATAGAAAATATTCGCATATAGAGTCTGGGTCAATCTAATTGGATTGAACCCGTGACCAACTACGGCTATCTTTGTGGCTGATCTAGAACAACTGAAACCTCTCCTTTAACCTGAGATTCACTGACAATATTTTCATCATCTGGACCAATGGACAGGAATCTGCCATCAAATTGTTGCAACTTCCACCACACCATCAATCTTAACCTCAACCTATCTACAGAACGTCCACTTCTACAACCCTCATCCACTTGAAAGCTCCCCTTGCTGTCTTACAAAATGCTGAAGGGCACAGATTTACTAGGATTGACTGTTAAGTCCAAGAGGAAAAGCTTTATCTCTTCTGACCTTATGTCAAGAGTCCTCTGCTCAAACTATCAGTAGGTGGAGATAGTAAAAAGACAGGAAGATGCCCAGGTCACTCCTGGCATGCAGCTATATACAGACAATATCCAAGGAGATGGAGTGCTTGACTTCAAAAACATTTTCCTTATGAAGTGTTTGCTATTAAGGCCACATTCCTTATTTGGTTCTACCTAGTTTAGCCAAAACAGGTTTGTCACCTCATGATACGGTGCCAGGCACATAAAGAAAACTTTAGACTGGACAAGATCCAGTCCATTACATGAAGAACCCGTTTCAAAAAGTGTAGACCAGCTCCCAAGATTCCACATCCAGCATTGTCACTGAAGAGAATTCTGGGAGTTGAAGTCCACAGACCTGGAAATTGTCCAAGTTGTAAAACAATTGGGTTAGAAGGACCAAAGAGTTTTTGACTAGACTGAAATCATATTAAATTATATGAGTTTGCCAATAAATACTAAAACTCTCCATTTTTTTCTTCTTGTAAGAACTCATGTCCTAGTCATATATGTATTTGTTAGGGCTGTGCAAAGATCTGTATTTGAGAATAAAATGTGATTCAGTGTGCATGCAAACACGTATGTAGGACATGTTGGAAACTGCTTTAAGGTGTTTCCAACAGTGATATGCACTTACTCATGCACACACCAAATCACATTTTGGCTTCTGAGTCTGGGTTTCTATGCAGCCTCAATACTTACCTGGAAGTACATCCTATTGAACTTACTCTGACAATTTCATTTAGACATATGGGAGTGCATTATCTTGCCATTGCATTGTTAACTGTATAGTTTCTTGTATTAATTTGATGAAAATAAATAACTTACAAATTATGTCATGACAACAAAGGCCAAAGATCCACAAGATAAAGCTGGACTTTATAAGACAATCAGCCAACTAGCAAGCATAAATCATAATAAATGGGACTGTTTACTTATTTTCTTTAAACTATACTTGTTTATACCAGCACTCATTTAAAAAAAGGATACAAAACAACAACAATGCTGATTAAATTCTGATTAAAATCAGAACCAAAATTAAAATCAATGATTCAAATAATTAACAAATTAAAGCTTGGCAAAAGAGATGCATTTTTGCTATCTTACTAACTCCCAGGAGAGTGGGAGCTAAATTTGGTCCCTTGGGGACCAGATTGTAATTTAGGATTCACATAGCAGAAGATTTCTTCCCCGTGTACTCTTTTCCATGTACCCAAGTAGCTGAGCTGTGGCAGTGGGGCATCTTTAGAACAGCCTCTCCTCTGTTGTACTGTTTAGATTGAATTAACTCCAGCAACTCCATTTGACTGAGATAAGCAAGATCAAAAAGCATAGCCAAATATTAACAACCAGTACAACAAGTTTGTAGGTTAATTATTTCTTTCCTGTTAGCATATCAAATAATCAATATTCTGAGTCTGTACTATGAACGTTCCAAAGGCCGGGATGAATTAGACTGATAAACAATTGTTTTTAGAAATAGTGTTCTAAATTTGGGGATAAACTCTTAATCAAAACCTATTTCACTATTGCATAATTTCAAGCATAGTTCTGTCTCTCTCTTACCTGATAGGAAAAAAAAAAAACTGAAATATTTGTAGCTGTCAACAAAAAAACTTGTAAAACTTTATTCTGAGGCCAATCTAGAAATTATTTCTGCTAAGCAGAAATGTTAGGAGCCAGTTCTAAAATTGGAAGTTCTGTCCTTATTTTCTTCACATACTTTCTGCTCTACAATTATCAGTTTAAAGAAGTTTTCTATACTTAAAAAGAAAAATTATGGAAATGGCTATGACTATTCCACACTGAATATACTGCCTTGTTTATAGAAAGATTGTTCCATGCAGAATATGAACAAAATAAGGAGCCATGTTGCATGTGTGCATCCAAACAATTTTCTTTTTGCTGAGATTTCCAACCGAATGCACAAAAAATACCTTAAGTAAGATACACCTATAA